AAGAGAATCAACACACATTTCCACACAGAAAACATCAATACAGAGAAAATTTCATCATAAAATTCCAAGTGTTAAGATTTACAGGGTAATTTACGTAATTAGCACTAAAACATAATGACTTTTCCTAAATAGCATCACATGCGTTTTTTTCCAAAGTAGCACTTTTAGTCATTATGCATTAGTCATTATTCAAGTAAATGCTCGGCATCACTGGACATTATTAAGTGCTATTTAGGGAGGAAAACAGTTCTAAGTGCTATTTAGGAAAATGACTTAAGTTTTAGTGCTATTTAGTTTAAATATTTCTATAAAAAAAATTAGACATGAGCAAACCTTAATCCATTTTCCCTCGGCTCGAGCCATCACAAACAAACCCTGCAGTGAATACCAACTTATCTGGCAGAATTTTATCACATAAAACTTCAAAAATCGAATTTCGCAGCACATTGAGAAACCAACAGATTAAGAAAGCCCTCTTTCCGGTTCATAGGATTCACATTTTTTTTTTAAATTTCCATAATAAAAACTTAAATTGAAGAGTAAATTAAACAAAATCTTACTGGTTTGGGTTGCAGAAATGAGCGGGTTCAGACGCAGAGCCGACTCCAAATCTCCACTCTGAAACTGAAATGATGAACTCGCGCTGAGCTAAACCCTATGGCTGATTGGACTTGTCAACAGCAATTATACTCCATAAATTTATGATCCGTATATCAAATTACTTCGAACATTCACCGCGTCATTAACCACTCCTCGTACGGAGTATTTTGAAATGAAACGTACAATTATGTCATTTCAAAAAAATTACTACGTAAGTATTAATAATTCAAATATTGAAATGAAAACTCAAATTTGTACAAAAATAATGCACAACTTTGTTTTTTTTTAAAATAATGTATACAAATTTAGAGAATCTTATAATTGTGAACAAAAGATAACGAATTTACATTTAGAAAACAATGATTTTTTTTCAATAAAGTAAAATTGGACTATTAATGAGCATTAAATAATGAAAAGAATAATCATTAAAATAACACCGAGTAGTAAATTTAATAAGAATAAATATAATGAAAAAATACTAAAAGAAGAAAAATATAAAACGCATTACTCTTTGTATGATAAGATAAAGTACACAAATAAGTAGAGGGCACCTGAGATATTCTGTAGTTAACTTCAAACAATTTGATTCGTAATAGTCGATTTATTCAATTCTTTTGTATCATGGTCTCATCCCATTTGAAACTGATTCGAGTTCAATTCTGGATGAAAAAACAAATCTTCATTTTAAAATGCGACAAATGGTTCAGTATCATTACGTGTAGTATAGTAACACACTAGTTCGATTCTTTTATCCATCTTTAGGCAAGATTACCATGGACACATCTACCTTGATGAATATGGGGCAGCAGCTAGCCCCCAGTAAAAAAAATTTGAATTTGTAATATATATTTTTATTTAGTTTTTTATAGTTTTGCCCCTAGTCAAATTTAAAAACCGCCCTATTCCATTTTTAAAAATTGACCTAATCCTTGAAAATAAGTGCCTCAATCCAAATAAAGCCTAGCCCAATTGCTCAAAACTCCAAAGAACACCCAAAAATTACTCCCCTTCCGAATAACTTAAAAAAAAAATTACTCCCCTTCATTCTTATATCCACAAGAGATAGACCAAATTCATCTGTTAATTATTCCAAAGTCCCAAGCTCAATTGTTTACAATTTATTTATTTTTCATCATTATAAATTGTTTTTAAATTTATAAGACGGAGAGAGTAAAACTTTTGATAGAGTTTTTAATTTTATTTTTTAATTTTACATATATAATCAAATAAATTGAATTGAAAATAAATTCGGTCAAGGATCAAAGATAAATAGTGCAAAAAAGACTATCTATTTGCTAGTAGTCCACACCCATATTTCCAAAATTTTACACATCTTGTTTACCATAAAAATTGATCATGAAATAATGTTGTACTATGATGAATTGATGATGTGGATTTGGATGGACCAAAGCAATCAAATAAAAAGAGAAAGCAATGGCCACCCGTGAAATAATTCACTAAAAAGAAAGTTAAATAATATACATTCGCACATAATAATAATAATAATAATAATAATAATAATAATAATAATGTATATAGAGTGGTGCCAAATTATATAATGCCCCGTATGGTTCACGGACTCATATCCTTTGGCTCACATTTCCCCCCTCTTTTTGCTTATTCCTCCCTAGCTTTCATATCATTCACACAAAATTATTTTGATTTTTTTCTTTTTTCATTTTCACCTTTTTGTTCATGGCAGTTATAGTATTTGTCTCTATTTTATTATTAATTGGAACCCCCTCATTCTTCACCAATTTTGCTTTCATGTGATTATATTTGGGCTGCCCATTATTATATATTTGACAAATTTATTTATTTTCACTTGATTTAATTAGTTTCTTACCAATACCGGACACCATCACAACAGTTTGTTTGTTGTTGTCTATGGGCGATGGTTTAGAAGCTAAGCTGGTAACATGTGACAAATTAGGGGTCACATGATAAACTTTGTTTTTAAAAAGTCTATTACTATGTGTGACTGTGAGGCACACCTATAAAAGTTTTGTTAAATTTTTTTAACTAAAAACTTATTGAATACAATTACCAAATTTAACACATCAATTTGATTTAAAATATTTTTAACAAAAAATTTAGTGAATAAAATTGCCAAATTTAACACATCAATTTGATTTATATTTTTTTTGGGTCATTTACCTCCGAACGTTTTGAGAATTGCATTGATTCACCCTGAATTTTAAAATTTGCACCAATACTCCTGAACATTTAAAAATGTTGCACCAACAATCGCTATATGCAAGATTTGAGAGTTTATTTATCGATCACACGCTCATCAATATACATGTTGGAGCTTGATTAAGATGTCATGATATTCAAATTCAGTTACTGATGACTAAATCAAGAATAAATATCTAGGGTTTAAAGATATTAAAAATATAAAAAATAATATTTAGAAAAGACATATTGTACAACTCACGTGTCATATATAACTTTAGATGAATTTGTGTAATTAATTAGAAAAATGCTAGGGGTACACCAAAGGTGTACCCCATATACCCCCACCCCCTCCTTGTCCACTAAAAAAGGCAAAATAATTTTAAAAAAAATACTGGTAATATGTAATTATTTGTCACATTTCTATTACCGAGGTAAAATATCAAGTTTTTTCAATTCATTTTATTTATATATTGGTAAAGAAATAAAAATAAAAATTACATATAAAAAAACTACATGAAAAGTTCTTCGAAATTAGAGGTGTCAAGAATATTTTATTTAATCAAATAAGCAATGAAAACATAGAAATAAACAAAAGTTCCCGCGACTGTTAAAAAAGCAAATGTGGCAAATATTTTGAGACGGAGGGAGTAAATAAATAAAAATCAAATAAAAATGTGTGATGGAAAAGATGGTGTGTACATTTGATACACCTTTTGGTGTACTTTTAGTGTACCCCTAGCATTCCTCAATTAATTAACCCACTTCCAAATCTGGGTTGAGATGAAATCTGGGTTGGTCTTTTCATGAGTGAAAGGTTGTAGCCTGTAGGTAGTAGCTGGAGTGGATACGATGGTGCATTCATGCCTTGGTAATTGGTACGGATAATACAATGATTGTATCATTGGACTTGCCGATAAAAAACATTTTTTTTTCACATACAGTATTAATTTCTTAAGTTCCAAAAAAAATCTTGATTGGATATGAAGAATAAAAAAATTTATATTGTTGAAAATCATGTAGATGGGAATTGAGATGGAAAGATTCTACTCTCTCATCGTTCCTATTTGAAAAAAACAACATATAATCATGATATATATATATATATACACACACACACACATCATGTTATATATTCCCTCCGTCTCTAAATAGATTATAATTTTTTTTGTCCTCTCGATAATTTTTGTTTGTTTACTTGATGTCATTAAGTATTTGATACAATAAAATATTCTTATCACTTCTTGTTTTGTAGAACTTTTGACGTAGTTTTTTAATATGTAATTTTTATATCTGATTGATGTACCAATTTGTAAATAAAATGATTTTAAAAAGTAAGAAATTTTACTTCGTAACCCAAAAATTGTAATCTATTTAGAGACGGAGGGAATATATAATCATGTTAAGTATTACTCCATATATATTCGAGTGATCATTTAATTAAAACTGCACTACACAAATATTTTTAGGTGAAACATCATAATACTCTCTCCGCCTCAAATTGATTTAAGTCTTTACCATTACTGTACGGTGTTTGGACAACTTTTGTTTGTTTGCATTTTTATTATTATTTGATAAAATAAAAAGTTCTTATCATATTTTGTTTGTAGAATATTTGATTTAGTTTTAAAATATGAAATATATGCACTAACTAGCACTAAAACTTAAGTCATTTCTCTAAATAGCACTTAAACTATTTTATTCCCTAAATAGCACTTAATAATGTCCTTAATGACTAGTGATGATGAATATTTGTTTGAATATTGACTAATGCATAATGACTAAAAGTGTTATATTGAGAAGGAAAAAACGCATGTGGTGCTATTTAGAGAAAGTCGTTATGTTTTAGTGATATTTAAGTAAATTCCTCTTTAAATATATATACTTTTTATTTCTTATTTCAATTATGCTAATTTGTAAATACTCCGTATAATTATTTTAAAAGTTACAAAATTTTGTACGTAAATCTAAAGAGATACTACCTCCGTCCCAGAGTATTTGTCCACTTTCATTTTTACACACCATCCAGTACACTTCTTTAATCCATTTTATCTTGTAATTTGTATATTAAAAAATTATAGAAATTATATATTAATAATCTATATGTTAAGACAAACCAAACAAGATCACACATGATTATATTTAGGCTTACACATTGAGAGAATTTGATGAGTCAAAGTGCTTAGATGAACAGTTCCAAAAGTCAAAAGTGGACGAATATAGCAGAATGTAAGGGAGTAATTCATTTTGAGAGGAGGGAGTATGGAAGTGAGAGGGTATATATATTGAGAATCTTGTTCTTGTGGCCACCTCAAACTCAAAGTTGTAGCTTTGGGTTGGTTGGCAGGAAGCCACCCTCTCTATTAATTATAAACTGTGTTAACTACCGGTTGATGACTTGCATGCATTCTTAGCTGAGCTATGGGAGTCCCCACCGGCCGCCGCCGCTGCTCCGCCCTGATCCTCCTCCTCCTCCTCCTCCTCACCGTCACCGCTATTGCATCACTGAGCAGTAATGTTGCGGAAGGAAGACTTCACATTTCCAAGAAACAGAGTAATGACGAAGATGCCCCTGTTTCGGCGCCCCCTCCCGTAGCTCCCTCCGACCCTGTTTCGCCCCTTCCGGTGGTTCCCTCCGACCCCGTTTCGCCCTCTCCGGTGGTTCCCTCCGACCCTGCTTCGCCCTCTCCGGACGCCGGCAGTGCTCCGCCGTCAGATGAGGATTCGGGGCCGTGCGTTTTCGACGTCACGGATTACGGGGCCGTCGGCGACGGGAGCAGCGACGACACCGCCGCGTTTGTGGCGGCGTGGAAGGCCGCCTGTCAGGTCGAGTCGGCCGTTCTGTGGGCCCCTCCCGCCCACACTTTCTTGATCACTTCAACCATTTTCTCCGGTCCCTGCAAGCCTGGGCTTGTATTTCAGGTAATTAAAGAATTCTCAGATCATTAAGCCGCCAAATGTTCCATGAAATACAATGTGGGGAAACATATGATAATTTGGTATATATGAAAGGTGGACGGAGTGGTGATGCCGCCGGAGGGGCCGGAATGTTGGCCGGAAAAGGACAGCGCAAAGCAGTGGATTGTGTTTTATAAGCTCGATGATATGACCCTGAATGGCACCGGAACTATTGAAGGGAATGGACAAAAGTGGTGGGATCTCCCCTGCAAACCTCATAGGGTATTTTTTTTCTTAATTATTATATCCAATTAAATTAATATCACAATTCAATTTATTTTTCTCGTCATTTATAACCAAAGTTTAAAATATTGCATGACTTTGAATATCAAACTGAAGAGATTCAAAAGAAACGAAGGGAGTATTTTTTTTTTTACAGTATTATGCTGCTTTTGTTGTTAGTTTTATAAGAGGAGGGGTAATCTTACACCAATTTTATTGGTGTAAGATTGTTACATCAATTTAATTGAAAAACTTACGGTATTCCAATCAAAAAATTTTTAAGATCGGAGCTCTAGATTGAGTTAATGTGACAATTTTACACCAATCAAATTGGTATAAGATTGTTTCTCCTTATCTCACAAATAGACATTTCACAATGAAGTAAATTAAATAGATTAAATGTGAGTTATTTCCAAATGTGGGTGATTATTAATAAATTTTGTTAGAGTAAATATTGAATGCTAAAAGGGGAGAGAAATGCTCAATTTTCAGGGACCAAATGGGGCAACACTGAAAGGACCATGTGACAGCCCAGTGGTAAGTGACAGATCGACGAGTACGACGACGTTTTGGAATCAAAATTGCACGGTTTTAATTTGATCGGGAGTTTTGTTTTATTTTTAATTTTGTTATGTTGTGTGGGACGTACAGCTGATACGGTTTTTCATGAGCTCGAATCTGGTGGTGGGAGGTGTACGGATCCAGAATAGTCCCCAGTTCCACATAAAATTCGACGGCTGCGATGGAGTGGAAATCCACCATCTCTCCATCTCCTCTCCCAAGCTCAGCCCCAACACTGACGGCATCCACGTCCAAGACACCAAAAACGTTAAAATCCACAACTCCGTTATTGCCAACGGTATAATTTACTTACCCCGACACAATTATCTTGCGGTTTATTTTTTTCATGATCTCCAATATACTACTTTAACTATTTATATCTTTGTTTATATATAATTTTATATTATAAAAGTATGATATTTTTAAATTTTATTTTAAAATGAATTTATTGATATACTTATATCATAGATCAATATATTTTTCCCACAAAATTTGAAACCTTTGACCAAGAAAAAAACAACCAAGAAAATTATTCTGGAACTGAAAGTAGTTCTTTTTATTTTATATTTCACGATTCTTAATGCTACCTGATACATCTATATTTCATACATTCTCTATTCACGATTTTGGTATGGTTCAAATGATATTCGACATTTAAACACAGTCAAAATTTCAATCAATGCCAAACAATTCTGAGGTAGTCAATTTGTGGGGTGGGTGTTAAGAGGTACATAATATAATTTATTTCGAGATCAAATGGAACATTGCACGATACTCAAATTAACTAGTGTCATAGGATACAAATAGTCATTAGAACCTTGTTGAAAAACATTTTATTAAAGGTTAAATTCTTTTGTATTTCTTAGGTTTTTGCTCATTTATAGATTTTATTGCATAAATATTATTAAAGAATTGAACTTTGCAAAAAAACACATGTTAGTCTATGAAAAATGTTAAAATTTTCAAATTTTTACCAGAAAAGCACAATATTTTTTTAAAATATGATCCTAGTAATATTTTACGACATCAAATGATAATAAACATACATTATTATTATAATTATAATAATTATTATTTAATATAAATTTTGAAGTCAAAGTGTTTTAATTTTGCCTTCAAAATAGTAATCCTATATTTCGTTTGTGGAAATTGAGACGTAAAGAAAAACAAAGTGTTTTTTTTTCTCATTTTCCTTATAAGGAGAACTATTTTGCTTTATAAGTTCATTTTTTCTCCCATTTTATTTTCCTTCTATTTATCCTTCTCTTTTTTCCTATCTAAAAACGAAAAATTATTTTGGAATAAATTAAAAGCCACTTTTTAGGAAAGGATGGAATATTTAATTTGGCTCCATTTTTCCGTCCAGTAATTTTACTTGTTACTCGTACCAGGGGACGATTGCATATCAATTGGGCCGGGCTGTTCTAATGTTGAGATTGACGCTGTTACTTGTGGGCCCAGTCATGGAATCAGGTAATGGATCATTGTTTTGGGAGGAATGTCAATTGAGTTCATGGTGATTATAGTCATTATACTCTTCTCTCGGTTCGTTTTTTTATTTTCTTTTTTTTAAAACATTTAAAAAAACAATTTCTTCTTTTGTTTGACAATGGGTATGTGGTTCACAATCATTTTTCTCATTTAAAAAACTAAAACCATATTCTTGATCTTTTTGATAATTTGTTTAAACTCAATGAAAGTTAAATTGAATAAAGTTTTTACGATATTAAAGGAGTACTACTCAGATACATAAAATATTTCTTGGACCAATCATTGCAAGTTTGAGCTTCTGGTTGAGTTTATTTCCCGAAAAATAATATAATCCCATTTTATATTTCTTGGCACAGCATTGGGAGCCTTGGGATCCACAACTCACAGGCCTGTGTTTCAAACGTAACAGTAACAAATGCCGTGATAAAGGAGTCGGACAACGGGCTACGGATCAAGACGTGGCAGGGTGGGTCCGGGTCAGTGACGGGAATCAGGTTCGACAACATCCAGGTAGAGAATGTGCGCAACTGCGTCATCATCGACCAGTACTACTGCCTCAGCAAGGACTGCCGGAACCAGACGTCCGCAGTGTACGTGAACGATGTCTCGTTCCGCAACATAAAGGGGACGTACGACGTGCGGAACCCGCCGATACACTTTGCGTGTAGCGACACGGTGGCGTGCACCGGGATAGTCATGTCGGAGGTGGAGCTGTTGCCCTATGAAGGGGAGTTGGTGGATGACCCCTTTTGTTGGAACGCCTATGGGGCGCAAGAGACTTTGACTATACCCCCTATTGATTGTTTGTTGGATGGAGCCCCTAAGTCTATCATAGATGCCCAATATACATGTTGATTAGTCACTTCATCATACTTCACAATAAATAGTGTGATATATATTTGAGTATATAGGAAGTAGGTTGTGTTGCAATCATATATAAGATTGATACTATATATTTCATAAAGAGTCATTTTTAGACGGTATAGATAGTCATTATCTATATATATCTGTAAAGTATTTGATGTCAAATTTTAGTATCGAATTATAATGTTAAAATAGATTTATCCTTAGGTAAACTTTATATAATGTACGCGGCACAGATGAGTACGTGTTTTTTAAGATGTGGGGTGTTTGTTCTTCAACTTATTGTGATATTGATATGTACATGCATTTTCTTTGTTTTAAAATAAATTTTTAATTTTTCTTTCAATTTTTTAAATGTTAGCTTTTACTTTATGTTTTAAATAAAAAATAATGAGCAGCTTACCATACTTAATTTTTTATTTCTCTGAAACTAAAACATGTTCTATATATATATGTACTAATTTAAAATTTTTATTATTTTTATACCAAAAAAAACTTATAATATTAAATAATATCAAAACATGATGTCAAACAAGGCACCATAGTTTGGGTGATGGCATAAGTGGGGCGGTGGTGATGGAAGAATATGAGGGATGGAGTGGGTTAGATCATCGAGAATGGAAGGAAAGTCGAAAATAAAAAAGATCATAATTTTTAGGTCTTATTTTAGAGATATGATATAGTCCTTAACTTTACTCCTATTTAGGGGTGTTCTTAGTATTTTATACTTGCGTCATATTGTCTTCAACTTATTCTTATTATTTTGTTTTTATTGGAATCAGATCAGATTAGATCAAAATTAATTTTAGAAAACTACCTTCAGATCAGATAATTAGACCAGATCAATTTTTCTTCCAGTCATACCAAAACTATGAAATAGTTTTAGACTGGACCAAATTAGAAATATTTTTAGATATACATACAATCATATTGTACCAAATTTTGGGCTAAAATTTGATCCAAAAGTCAATAAAATTTGGTCCAATGAATTTGGATGTAGTGTGGGATGCGTTGAGGATGAGGCGGACTATGGGGTTTGCTGGGAGATTAGGGGGTTACAATAATTAATTTTACTATCGAAGAAATGTAGATATTCCAATTTAATTGGTGTAACGATGTTGGGTTGGTATAAGATGATTCCTAGAGAGGATTTAACTATTTAAGTACCCTGTAGCGTTTAGGGAGCAGTAAGTTAGAAAGGGTGGGGGAACCAAGAAGCTGAGCCACGAGAAAAGTACCGGCGATGGCTTCCAGAGCTGTGGCTTCAAGAGCGATCCGAATCAAGACGAAGCTGTCTTCCGAGCTGAAACCGGTCCTGATCGATGTGGAAGACGTCTCCCACCAGCACGCCGGCCACGCCGCCGTGAAGCATAGCGGATCCGGCGGCGAGACGCACTTCAACGTGAAGATCGTCTCCGACAAATTCGACGGCCAGAGCCTCGTGAAACGGCACCGTATGGTGTACGGCCTTCTCGACGACGAGCTCGGATCTGGACTCCACGCTCTATCGATTGTGGCTAAAACCCCCAAAGAGGCTTGAATTTGTCCCTAGTTTCATTCCATTTTAGTGAGTGCGGCAAAAATCCTTGAAGAACCTTTTTTTTTTTAAAATCTTATTTCTATCTTTTCGTTCTGAATTTTTTTCTTTATTTATTTGCTCCATCTGCTTCTTTCACTTCTGAAAAATTATTGAATTTATATTTAGCATTAATCGTTTTAAAGTTCATGTTCATTATATAATTGCAGTCGTAAAGTAATTAAGTATGATTATGTATAAATGATTTTGGTGTCATTTATAATCTTTTAGTGTCATGGTGTCAATATATAAATGTCACTCTATATTTGACAAGAGTATATAATTAAGTATAAATGATTTTGGGTTATGCTTGAGGGTCACCTGCGTCTAAGAATAAATAAATGAACACAAGGGATCTCACCTGCGGCTAAGAATAAATAAATGAACGCAATCTTAAGATTATTTGAAGTGTAAGCAGTAAAATTAGAGGGCATGAACAAAACTACAATTAATTTTGTAAGTTACATGCAAACTAACTACTCTTTTCATGAAATTTTATCTTTGCTTAGCAAATTAAACCTTATATCCCTGCATATATGCATCCAAGTCAATAAAAATTGTTCCTCATGAATCAAAATCTGTAAAGAAATCACTCTTAACATGAACCGCCTACACGTTATCTCATGACATTACAGTACAATGTCACATGAACTGCCCCATGAAAATAAGCCATATAACCCTTTCCCTAACTCAAGTTACCTCCTTTAAGAGACTCTCTAGCCGATGAATAAAAAAAATTATTAGCCCATGTAAAATAATTATGGTTTACTACTTAAATGCATTCAAAATTTATGCATTGGCTGCATGAATAAAAACCAAAACCCAACAAAATCATCTACTACAAGAACAAAACAATTAAATGACGACCAAACACAAAACAGTTTTGGTCTCTCATCATCATCCTCATCCCCATGCATTTTTACTTGTATGATTCCACCACATCTTTGAAATGGGAAAGAAGCTCTTCAACTTTCATAACTTGGAGATCAGATTTGTCTCGTAATCGGACGCTCACCTAAAACAGTTTAAAACCAGTTGATAAAGCATCTAACCGTTTTATGTCAAAATGTCGCAAATACAAAGTAAACTGAATATATACACGCTTCAATCGATAAGTAGAAAAAAGATCATGTCTAAAATAAATACTGGTTTTGTCCCAAAAAAAAAAAATATTGCTTCACTTTCTAGGCTTCACTTGGGAGCAATGTTTGTGATTATATTATTACCATTTTGGATATTTTTTATGGATGCAAATTAAATTTTGAAAGGCTGATGCTAAAAGCTTTCGTTGGATAGATTTGTCAAAACACTAGAGCTAAAGCTAATGCCAAACAGAGCTTTAGTTTATTCCAAAATATGGGTTCTTTGTTTTCTTTTGAGGGAAGGATTGTGTCCTTTATCTTATTTCCTTTTCATCCCATAAATTTCAAAAGAAATCACCCTAAATAAGACTAAAACATAGAAAAAGTACCAAAACAGAAGTTCCATATTTTTATTCCCTAAATAGAAATTTGCACTATGGTAATATGGCATTGTACATGTGCATTTTACGTAATGTACATGTATTTTAACTCCTATTTCGGGAATAAAAACACGGAACTCCTATTCTGGTATATTTTCAATGTTTTACTTCTACTTTAATCTTTTTCCCAAATTTCAACCACATTTTCAGTTTCTAAATAACTACATCAGGTTGAACCAAAACCTTACATGGGTCAGAGAGTATCTATAAAGTATGAAATATGAAGTTTGAAACAAAAAAAAGATAGCATACCTCTCCTGTGGTCTCTTCATGTTGACCAACCACTAATATGTAGTTGTACTGAGCAACCTGGGCTTCACGTACCTGTCAGCAAAATCAAGAATTTGAGTGTTTGATAAAGCTTTCAGGAAACTAGCAGCTATCGAGATAGTTTTTTAGCCTCACTTTTTTCTGAATTGTTCTGTTGGATGTATCAACATCAACATGATAACCAGCGTCATGAATCCGATCTCGCAGCTGGATCAAACACAATAGAAGGTATACTTAGGAAGATATATGTGACAATAGGCTAAAGAAAAAAAAAGTCAAATGTATCAAGTGAAGTAACAAATAAGAAAGAATTTTAAGCCATACAAACCTTAAGGGCATATGACTGGAATTTTTCATTTACGGGGCAAACCATAGCCTGGCGTGGACTTAGCCAAAAGGGAAACTTTCCCTTGTAGTGCTCCAAAAGTACGGAGAACATGCGTTCCACAGAACCAAGGATAGCTCTGTGTATCATAACTGGTCTTTCCCTTTTACCCTCTTCGTCTAAAGTATAATATAAGTTGAAGCGCTCAGGGAGTTGAAAGTCCAGCTGAAAAACATCATGTAAATAAATTTTACAAACTTCAGCTCAAATATTACTATCATGAAAGAAGTATAACAAAGCATATCAATATCAAGATCCCGATAAATAAAAACAAAGAAGAGTTGATGCAAGAAAACCTGCACTGTTGCACATTGGAAGCTCCTTTTCATTGCATCAGAAACACTTATATCAATTTTTGGCCCATAAAAGGCACCGTCGCCCTCATTCCTCTGATATCATCCAATTAAAAGTCAGTGATGTGGTACCCCAAAAATGAATGGGAACAAAAAGTGCAATACCCAAGAAACAGATCATTATCTTAACTAAGCCAAACCACATGGTAAGTGGACTAAAAATAGTCATAACAAATGACTTCATTACGGCAGATTTCTTTAAAAACACCAGATGACATCACTTAACATACTCAACCAAGTTCCAAAGAAATTTCCCGTCAATATGATATTTGATTTTCATATCCAACCTACCCCAAAATATATGCAACATAATATAAAATGATCGATAATAACTGTAAAATTGTAGACAATTTCAATAAAATTATAGAGAGAAAAAACTCAAAAGTAATATTGATTAAGATCATTAATCAACTACTTATATACAAAAAAGCAATAAAGAGTATGGTGAAGTGAATGTGAAACTTAGGAACCAAGCACTATGTTTGGTTCAAGAAATTTAAAAGGAAAAAAAAGACAAGGCTTAATCTCTTTTTCCACACCAAAATGGAAGGAAATTAGTTTTCCTGCTTACCTTATCTTTTGCTGTGCTTTTCTTTTCCTTTCACTTTTCATTTAATTTCCTCACTATCTAAACAAGAAAAATTGTTTCCTACAACATTTTCTTTTCTTTTCTCTTTCAAGTTCCTTCAACCAAACATAGCGTAGAACACCATATATCTACCAATCACGCGAGAGGCAGAAAAACAGAATAACATGAACCAAGTATTACAATTGCTTTGATACTTGATAACATGAACCAAATATTATGATTGCATTGATCCTTGACTAAAGTGATACAAATAATTGCCAGCATAGGGTACCTCTGATAAATAAATAACACAAGGACAATTTCATACTACAAATTTACACGTACTTGGAAAGGGAAGGAAAGAAATATCCTTAATTAAGGTCAAATGGACATCATTCATATGATAAGATTTTATCAACCAACCTCCCATGGTTTCCCAAATTCATCAAGTGCATCAGTAAGAGCAGCTTGAGCATCATCCCAAGTTTCTTCTTTTCCAATAAAATTTACTGGTCTCTGCAATTGAACATGCGGGATATAGATTATTGCAGTCATATCATAATTAAAAATCACATGTCATGACAGAAGTGAAGGCCATACTGTAGATAACTTCAACGTATAGGTGAAACCGAATATCTGATAGACATAATTGATGAACTCTAGTACACCTTTGATTTCATCTTTGATCTGAGACTTCATGCAGAAGATGTGAGCATCATCCTGCAAAGGTGCTATGGGTTAAAATATAGCACAACCAAAATGAACACATTGTACAACTTGAAATGAAATGAAACCATTCTAACCTATTATGTATCTATTAACTATGTTCCCCTCCAAAGAAAAATAAACTTACCTGCTGAAATCTTCTAAGACGTTTTAATCCAGTAAGAGCACCACTGGCCTCATTTCTATGCAGAACCCCAAAGTCTGCCAGTCTAAGTGGGAGTTCTGTGTGGTCAAATAATAGCCAGATTTCAATAAAAGGAATTAATGGAATAAAGAGAAAGCTTGCTCTAGAAGCTTATCGCAAGGACAGACCCAGCTTACCTCTGTAGGAGCGGGGTCTATTATCAAAGATTAAGCAATGGCCAGGGCAATTCATCGGCTTGAGGCCAAATTCTTGTTTGTCAACCTGCAAAAGAGATAAGAATCCTATCAATCTACTGCCCAAGTTCAAAATTCAATATTATCAGGTATCATTAATTATAGAGTCAATTAAATGTGCCTCTGACAAAGGAGCACCTCTATTGCCAATTGAGTATTGTGCTTACTTATTCAGGTTGCCACTCAAGTTCTCCGTACTTCATTACTATAAATAAAGTACAGTTCCCTCAGAGGAGAGAATGCCTCACCTCAAATACAAACATATTCTCCTTATACTTTGCAGCATGGCCAGAAGTTTCCCAAAGCTGCATATTGTAGATATTGGGGGTCCATACCTGTCAAAGTTGCATTAAATATTTTGCTCATAGGAAGTAGGCAGGGTAGAATTTAATCATTTTTTATTATATAAAGTTCCATACCAAGATTAAAAGGTTGTAATGAGTGCCTGGTTCTACTTGTACCAACACACAATAAACTAAAAATTAAAAGAATTAAATACCTCTTCATAACCTCGCTTCCAGTACTCACTGCGTATGAACTCCAAGAGTTTGTTGTACACTCTAGCACCATAAGGAAGGAAGAAGGAACTTCCAGGGCTAAATACAAAGAAAAAAAATAGTAGCATGAACAACAGTGGAAATCTTGACCGTCCAGTTCAAGACTACTAGGACTAAAACTCATTTCCAAACCTTGAAGGGTGAAAGAAGAATAGCTCCTGCTTCTTAGCCAGTTCCTTGTGATCATATTTCTTTGCTTCTTCTATCATTGCAAAGTATTCCTGCAAGAGAAGATTTCCATTTTAATAGTATTAACAAAATGCACTTTACCATCATTTTAATCCCTTAGACACCGTTAAGCTCCTAATAAACCAAATTATTACACACCAGAGAAGGACTACATTTTTTATTCTAAATCTCTATTTTCTATCCTCCCAAGTGTTAATTAAAAATGGAAGCTAACAAAATATACAAACAGTGCCATTGCAAGGACTCCTAAAGCATAAAAACAGCAGTAAATGCCATAATAAGTTGAATCTAATCAATTGCAGAACTAATAAATCCAATGTGTATTGTCAACTACTCAAAATATTGCAAATATAGAAAATCATTTAGTGAGCAAAAGCATTCAACATCACCTTCAAGCTTTTTCGGTCAGGGTAAGATATGCCATAAACCCTTTGCAAGCTTTCTCGGTCATGATCTCCCCTCCAGTATGCTGAAGAAGCCTAAATACAAAAGAAGATAAAGTACAAATTATTAAATACGTGCATAGCCTAAAATGCCCTCCATGTTGGATCTTAAAAGGTCCAAAGTCTCTACATTTGTGCATGCAAAGGCTTTAACAAAAGATGTGTTTGGAATGTGAGGCCCACGACACAAATCCACCAAGGGTCCACATCTGTACACTGTGATAGTCTCTTCTTCAGGTAAAGCATTTATGATTTCAACCTGAATAAAATGAAAATAGCAGGAAATTAAGACAAGCTAGTCAATAATAACAGATAAAACAAAATGAACTAACCAGTATAGAAATATGAACCTTAAATTTATTGTCAGAAAACATTTCAAGGACTTGCTCCTTGGAAGCTTCAATGCGCTCAAATGGTTGTTTCTCCTGTGAATCATTTACCGAATAGAAAAACAAACATCATTTACAACATACTCAAAACTTGCACTAAAAATAACATCTCCATCAGATATTTGACTTTCGGATTTTTCTACTAGGAATCCTTCTATTTTGATGCAGATTTGATTGGGTTCATAGTAATGTAAAAGCACTAATTCAAAAAAGCACCACTTTCTGATAGTCTATTTTGGTACTTAGGACAAACATAAAACTGCAATAAAGAATGAGCATTCATTTTTTTTCATGGATGCAGCAAAGTATAACAACCATACTGAAAAAAGTATATTCAAAAGTAATATTTAAAAAATAATGCAGATGTCGTGAGAAGTTTTGAAGAAATGTGGCAACTTCATCTAAGAAAAAGACATTACAGAGACTGCTTTTGCTGTGCCTGCTTCAATTTGTTTAAAGTGATCCACGTTCAACCCAACATCACCCACATCACCATAGAATGCATCATAATAGAAACCCTGCACCACCAATTAGCCACATCATCACAGATTCCAAGATAATGATTATGCTTGTCAAAAGAATATGATATAGGATCAAACCTCCCCTCTTGTTGTGCATGGACCAATGCATAACTTGCAACCATACGTCATCTCTAAAGACTACATTAGAAAAACCAAGATAATTAAATCAGCAAATGGGAAAAAACATCCCAATATAAGAACTTTTCTGGATTTTTTCCACAAAATATATAGTTATACTTAATGTAGCATCAACACAACCTGGCCAAGAATGTGAGCACTTGAGTGCCAAAAAACATCCCGTCCCACCTCAGTATTGAATGTGAATAGCTCAAGCTTACAGTCACCCTCCAGCGGCCTTGACATATCCCACAGCACCTCGTTGACCTTCGAAATTATAGCATTTGAAGCCAAACTATTTGATATTCCCTTTGCAATATCCAATGGTGTTGTATTCCACTTCTTTCCCTCTTTTACCGTCCCATCAGGTAACTCAACCCTTAGAAACAAGAAAAAACACTTGGGTGTAATTTATTTCCCACAACAAATCAACTTTACATTGGCATTCTATAACAAACACTACTTGATAGGATCAGGGGAAAGAGAAAGGCGCTTCATTTGCTGCTGCGATTTGATGGACTCAAAAAGTTGGATTCTCTTCGGAATTACTGTTTGGAGATAAGCATCATGTTTTGGGCACTGGGGCGAGGCAATGTCCCCAGAAGGTACCTCCCTGGAAAATCAAAAACAACAACCGAATGTGAAAATTACCAAAACAAAACTGTAACAAGAGCTTTTGTAATCCAAGACTTTCACAAGTCCATTCTGTGATCTGATCCTATAAAATGTAAACATAAAGCAACCATTGAATAAACATTTGTAGATAATAGTATTTTACATTTCAGCCGGCGAGCTCATTTTGGGGTGGGCGCTTTGGTAGAGAGACAAAGCTGCTGAAGACGAAGAATATTTTATGATTCAGAGAGTCGCAACCAGCGAAATTACTGTGAGCGATTGATTCAGAGCGCCGCAAACTGGTTGCCAGATTGATGAGAGTGCTGCTGCCTCGCAACGAGTGAGCGAAGGAGAAGATTGAGCGCTGCGCTGAAGCTGATTAGGGTTTTTCTAAAACGGGACACTCCTTCCTAAAGCTCGGAAACCATTCCAATAAAAATCTACGGAGTAATTCCTCTTTGGGATTTCTTTTACATTCATAGTCAAGCTGGCTAAAATACTAAGGGGTCGTTTGGTTTGGGGTAAGGGAATGGGGAAACGGAATCATTCTTTTGTTGTGGTTTGTTTTAAAAAAAAATTCATTCCCTTACCCTATTTTTAAATTTTTGATTACCCGTTTCACGCTTTTCCCATTCCCCAACTTATACCCGGATTTCTTACTCATTCCTTCGATTCCCCCACCCCAGTCAGTTTCTTCTTCGCTCTCCGTTTCTTCTTCCCCAATCGCCGCCACTCCCCCGTTTCTTCTTCGCCGCCACTCACCTTCGCCGCCACTCACCGCCGCAGGTATGTTTCTCCCCNATTCTATGTGTTTTTGTAACATAATTTTTTACAAATTTTTTACAAGTATTTTTACAGATTCGTTTACAAATTTTTTACAAATTTTTTTTCAAATTTTTTAGAATTCAATTGAAATCCCTCAATTTTTGTTGCAAAAAAAAAAATGTTGCCAAAAACAACCCAAACAACCCTAGTGATGATGATGATCTTCCTCAAATCTGAAAGTTTTTTTAAAAAAATTTGAACAGGAATGGTTCGATCTGGTCTCTCTTTGAGAAAGAGGAGTCAAAGAAAATTGAAGTTTCATAGCTTCTTGTTCTTGATGATTAACTGTGTGGTTTTATGTTGTATGATGTGGTATTCACTGAGTAAAACTTTGCGTCGATCTCGAGCGATTCAAGAAGATAAAAACTCTAGAAGAGAAATGAGAATGCGTAACTTGAATAGAATCATTAGAGATGATGATGTGGTGTGCAGAAACTTTCTTCGGATGAACCGACAAACATTTGTCATTTTATGTGAGATGGTAAGAGATATAGGTGGGTTGACTCAGTCAAGGAATATGTGCGTGGAAGAGATTTTAACAAGTTTTTTATACACATTGGCGCATCATCAGAAGAATAGAACGATTGGGGGATTTTTTATAGAAGTGGTGAAACTATAAGTAGACAATTTCATGCATGTTTAAAGGCAAACACAAACAAAGGGAATTCTATTCCCTTTCCTGCACTGAACCAAACAGACAGAGTAATTCAGGGGTAATCATTTCCTTTCCCCCTGATTCCCTTTCCTGTTTCCTTTCCCTTTCCTCAGCATGAACCAAACGCCCCCTAAATACATTTCGTTAATTAAATTCATCGCGTGATGCATAATTTTAAAAATATTGTATAAATTTATTTAATGAGAAAATTATATAATTTTTTAAAACTATTCACCATTTATTTCATTTTATTGCTTTTCAAAAAATTTACATAAATTTTAAACTTAAAACTTTGGTAAATGTTATATTATTTTTTCATTAATTAATAAGGAGTATTACTTTCATTTATTTATATTTAGATACAATTAACTTTGTATAAATCTTTACATTTTCTAATTATTATACAATATGAATTTTACCATATTTTTTTATAATAATGAATTGATTTAGTTATAGAAAAATTTAAAAAAGAAACCAACTTTTTATAATAAAAAATAATTTTTTTAAAAAAAATAATAAAATAAAATAAACGGTGAATATTTTTAAAATTTTTATTATATTTTTATTCTTAAAATAATAATTTTTATATAAATTTTTAAAAACATAATTATGCGGAGTGTAATCAGTTAACGGGATGTATTTAGCGGGGTGTATTTAGTTCAAATTTTAAAAGATTTTAATAGATTATTTAAAATTCATGGATTATGCAAAGTGTACAAATTGTTTTTAAATCTATGTAGAGTTAGATAGATATTAATATGTTTTATCAACAAAATTTTGTAGAATTTTGTTAGATTGTATAGTCCAAGCTCAAACAAAACCTCCAACGTAAAAAAAGAGTTTTACCCGTACAAAAAGAAAAGAAGAACACTAAAAAGAAGAACGTGGACTTGTGCCTATGTCGCTGCTTTGCTTGTGATGTCTTCCAGACGACCGATGACTTCGAGGGGGAGAGCGCTAGATGGAACAAGAAATTGAAACCCAATCACCAAAGAAATTGAAACCCAATCACCAATCATGATGATTTTACGATCATTTAATGCGGAGGCGACGTCTGACGCATGCGCTGGCCGCCGGCAACCACTGCACAATGATTTCTACGGTAAAACCATGCCGAGATCTCCTGCAACTAAACTCCCACCAAAATCCCCTATAATTAAAGGGAAGCGAGGAGAAGAAGGGGCCGCCTAGAGAAAGAAAGAAAAATAGAAAAAAAGATAAGAGAATAGTGTAGATTGAACTCGGGTCTACCCCATTGGCACCACAAATCAAATATAATTAATTTGATTTGTGATTTGAATTCGGAAAAAGATTATTCCAATTTGATTAAATTGAATTCGAATCCAAATACAAATCTAGTTTTAAATTCGAATCTAAGAAATCCGAATATGAATATTAAGAGGTCCAATTAGGCCCCATTCCGTTCAACTTATTTTTTCTTATTCTTATTAAAATCAGATCAGATCAGACCAGATCAGATCAGATCAGATCGAATCAGATCAGATCAGATCAGATCAGATCCAATCAGATCAGATCAGATCAGATTCAATCAGATCAGATCAGATTTAATCAGATCAGATCAGATCCAATCAGATCAGATCTAATCAGATCAGATCAGATCCAATCAGGACTTATTAAAATCAGATCCCATCAAGAATTATTATTATTATTATTATTATTATTATTATTGTTATTATTATTATTATTATTATTATTATCATTATCATTATCATCATCATCATCATCATCATTATTATTATTACATTGTCAATCTAATTCTACTTTTAAAATATATTTTTATTGCTACTTGTAATTTGAGTTTCTAAACTTTTGATCTTTTATAAGGATGAGATATTTTAATAAAAATACTATCTTTTCTATGTATTGATTATCAAAATTTAATTATTTTTTAATGTATATCTAAATTAAATATTTATTCTAATGTATAATTCTAATTTTACAAAAAATAATCATAAAATAAAAATATTATTACATTATAATATGAATGATTATTCTAATATATGAATTGACTATTTTTATTTTATTAAAAAATAATCATTAAATAAAAAAATGTTGATTATAAAGTCAAATTATCATTACAATTTTCAAACGTTATTATAAAGTCAAATTAAATTATTAATTTAAAATTTTAAATTAAATCATAGTTAATCAGATCAGATCAGATCCAATCAGATCAGATTCCATCAGATCAGATCAGATTCCATCAGATCAGATCAGATCCAATCAGATCAGATCAGATCAGATCCAATCAGACCAGATCAGACCATATCAGATCAGAACTTATTAGAATCAGATCAGATCAGAAAAAATAAGTTGAACGGAATGGAGCCTTAGTTTATAATTCAAATTATTCAAATATTTAAAGTATAAATAAACAAAGAAATGATGTTTTATCTAGAGAATATTATTTATATACATTAGACTAAAATTGATGGCCAAGATCTTTTCAAACTAACCTTATCTCATTTACTTGTTTTTAAGAATTGTGTTTTAAAAAAAAATCTCTACTTTTTTGGAATTTGAATATTTGAATACGAATTCAAATACATCGAATACGCTCTCGATTCGAATAAGAACAATTTTTTAGATTCAAATTCAAACTTGAATATGTGTCATTCTAAATAAACTCGCAGAAAATTACTCGCGGGTGACGCGAGTTTTGTCGAAATAACTTTCTGGTCCCTCTATTTTTCAAAAAGACAACCGAGGTCCTTATATTTTGTTATAATGACTGGGAGGAGACATTTCATCCAATACATCATCCATAAGTGTTAATAAATGTATTTGTTTCCTATTTTTCCAATACCGTTTTTTCCTATTTTGCCATTAACTTGTTTTTTCTTTTTTTAAAATTTATTTATTTCATTTGTTTTAAGACATTTAGAAAAGAATAGGAAAAAATACATTTATTAATGTTTATAGATGAAATATTGGATGAAATGTCCCCTTACAGTCATTACAACAAAATGTAAGGACCTCTGCTGTCTTCTTGAAAATAGAGGAACTTGAGAGTTATTTCAACAAAACTCGCGTCACCCGTGAGTAATTTATTGCTGATAAATAAATTATTGCTGATAAATAGTTTTTAACTTATAAACTGTTTATAAATCAAATATTCTTTTGTGGTAGTAAAATAACTTAAATGATAGATAAATCATTTACAAATATTCATAAATGATGAGGAACGATTTTGTAAATAATTTAGTCAAAACGGAGAAATGAAAAAATTAACTTAAAAATAAGTAGCTATGAACTTATTTTTTTGCTTAGCATTTGATAAGTCAGCTTATAAGCATATAGAAATATGTCATCAAGTAACTTACAAATTAAAATTACCTAAAAACAATTTTGACCAGTTTATAATTACAAAAAAACATCCACTTAATTGATTGTAACTTCAATCAACCAAAAATCAATTGATTGTAACTTCAGTCAACCAAAAATCAATCCTTTTCAAAGAATATAATTGTATCATTGACATCATTATTCAGACGAAGAAAGTGCATAATGCCTTTTACTTCACACTCAAACTCCAAAAGTGTCATCATGTTAGATAAAATGAAAGATCTTTTTAAGTGTGTTAATATATGTCACTAAATTAATTAAGATCATAGATGTGGCAAAAAAGGATAATGATATTTGTACCCCATTTTGTACACCGCAAGGATGCACCAACATTTTGTGTTGGTGTAATGTTAATTTTTGTTAACGCACCAACACTTTGTGTCACTGTAAATTTTTGTTAACGCACCAACACTTTGTGTCAGTGTAAACCATCAAAATGTTGGTGCATACCTTTGGTGTACAAATGGGGTAAAAATTATGGGGTACATGTAGCATGCTCCGGCAAAAACCCCTCATAACAATAAGAGCTCCTACCTATATATATGCACTCTAAGCAATAAAGCACACAGTAAAAGTGAACTAAAAATAGAGAGGCAATAAGATGGATTAACCACACCACTCATTCTGTACACTTAAACCAAAATCCTAACCTCACCTAAATATGATGCAGAGAAGGAAATGCTGCTTGAATCGCCGTTTCTTCAGCCACCAATCTTCTGAGCAGCAGCTGCTCGTGCTTCACGAAGTCCATGAACAATTCTCCCAGTAGCTTTGCCTGCGCGTACTCCTCAGTGCCCAAACGAACCAACATTACTTTGTCATCCAAATGCGCGCCATCACAATTTTCCTACATAAGAAGAAGATTTTTGCACAATGGTGTTTCATACTTTGGCAAAAGAGCATATTTTGGAGTAATGTTTTTTGTTTTGCAACTTACCTGATACTTGCGGAGTAGTTTCCCGAGTGAAGATTGAGAGTTCATTCCAAGCCTAGTGACACTTTCAATTAGTACCCACGGCCTGTTCAAAACAAACATTTCAACAACAAGAAGAAACCCAATGTATTCCCGCAACACTAGGTTCTGAGGAGGGTGTGTGCACACAAATCTTGCCCCTACTCGGACCTAGAACACATAAAGCACACATGTACAAGTTATAGACTAACACAATGTTTGGAGGAATTTGAGAGGGAAAAGAAAATAAAATAAGATGGAAAACAGTTTTTCTTGTTTGGTTAGAGAGGAAAAGAAAAGAAAAGTGGAACAAAAAGGAAAATGAAAAGGCTAAATGTATTAAGAGGAGGTAAAACACAATTCCTCCCATTTTGGTGAAGAAAATGAGAGAAAACCATTTTCTTTTCTTTTCTTTCCACATTCCTTGAACCAAACATGGTGTAAGGTTAAAATGCACCAGGATAAATGTTGAAAAAACAGTTACATTGTGGCAAATTCAGTAAAGGTTAATTTATAGTTAAGACCAAGTCTTCCAAAGATTTCCCCTTCAAAACCCTCCATCCAAATTGACCCTTATGATCAACATGTTACTAATATCAAAAGCGGCCTAATGGGGGCCTATAAACTTACACTCCGTATTGTTCAGGAGAACAGTTGTTTGATACTATCAAAGAAGTTCTTATATGATTTATCAGTATCTTATAAAAAAAGTGAATGTGTACTGTGGAAGTTTATGCGAAGGATAGAGAAATAATGTAACCACTCATTTATTTACAGAAATGAAATGAGAACTTTTTGGGACATCTAAAAAAGGAAAGCAAGAAGTTTTTTTTAGGGATGGGGAAGTAATATGTTTTCCACATGCAAGGGAAGGCAAGTGATATAAACAACAAGCAGGTGTGTGTACTTAATGAAAAACAAAAACAATTATCTGACTGAAAAAGTGGGGACTTAAAAACGACAACGAGCAGTAAAAGGCGAAAAGCCCAAGTAATTCAAAAGGCACACCTTCCACTCGTGGACACAATGAAGTGATCAGGATTCACCAAGAAATTGCATATGTTTTCATGCTTCTTCTTGGTATCCACCAAAAGAACAGCTCTCGCGAAATGTATCCACACTGGACTCAGTAGGATATACACTTGTGGTGAAACACCAGTGTGTCTTTCTATGAAAGCCTGTATTGATGATGGAGATAAACTCCTCTCCAAATTGCCAATTAATATGAAATAGGAGTTTGATTTTTCACCACCCAGATCTATATCTTGATCCTGATGAGAAGATTCCCGATTGCTCAACTTCCCAGCACCTACTTATAAGGGAAAAAAAGGATAAAATAAGCTGCACATGTCCTTTGGGCTAACATTAGTACCGGAGAATATTCTAGCAACAAACCTTTCTTCTCACTGTTACCATAAATTAAGTTCCATTTATTCTGTATGTCCTGCACGATGTAAAGAGGACCGTTAATAAAAACTTTACCGGAATAAAGCATTAGCCATAGATGCATTTTAATGAAGAAAAAACAAGTTGCCAGATTGAACTTGAGGAACTTGGAGAAAGCTAACCTGAAATGAAAGATGTTTGTGTTCAGTTAAAAGCTGACTCCATCCTCCTTTACCAAGCTCTAGACGAGCTGGTACCTCTTTTCCACTGTTCTTGCGAGAAGAAACTGGAAATTTACTTTTCACGATTTGCAAGAACGAAGCAACTTTTGGATCAACTTGGCCATCATCTTTTAAAGTACATACGCAAGAAATGCCGGTACTGGTTAAATGCCCCATTTTTGGACCATGAATCCATGATAGCACAAAAGTGCACTGACATTCTTCTTCGCCATTCACAAATGAATGGTCCTTGCGCTGCACCTAAGAAATGTAATGCAGCATATTTTTTTTAATAAACAAGTATATGATGAACACTTATGAAGCATTTGAGCTCAGATTTTGTATAGTAAAGACATCAGAGAGAAAAGGGAAAAAACAAAATGAAGTCTAGGCTACACATACAAATATATTTCCGGATTACAGGAGCCATAGCTAAAATAATTAGGAAGAAAACATAGTGAAGAGCAGAGTCCTTGTTTTGAATTCTAGTCTGGATCAGATCAACAGTCAACTATGTTTCCGCAGCACATTGATATTAATGATTTACAACAGTTCAGGATAACAGAGACCATTAAACAATGACTCGTCTACACTTTTGCTGTGAATTGACGTGCATGCATACATACATACATACATACATGTGTGTGTGTGTACAGACAGATACATACATTTAGACACAACAAAACCACAATCTGGGGTCTAGAAAGGGTGAGGATATGCAAACCTTACCCCTACTTCGAGATGTGAGGGGCTATTTTCAAAAAGTAAAAACACGAAAGAACCCGTGAGGGAAAAAAAGTTAAAGGTGATGAGAAAAGGGATTTCCAACACCATTTAGTAGAAGAAGAAAAATGGGATGAACATGAAAGTGTGGAAGAGTTATGGTGTGATATGGCAGATACTAAGAGAAAGGTGGTAAAGGAAACTCTTCAAAAAATAAAAGCACTAATGCAAGAGACAGAGAATCATGGTGGTGGGACACTAGTGTGCAAGAGAAGGTAAAGGTAAAGTTGGATCGTTTCAAGGAGTGGTATTTATGTTGTAATGTGGAAAGTTGGAGAAAGTATAAAACGGCTAAGATGGAGACAAAAGTGGTTGTAAGTGAAGCAAAAACGAGAGCATATAAAGGGTTTTACAGTCATTGGGTACGGAAGAAGGGGAAAGATGTATTTACAAGATTGCAAAGAGTTGAGAAAGAAGGATGCGGGATTTGGACCAAGTTAAGTGCATTAAAGATAAGAGTGTTGTGGTTTTGGTCTCCGATGAAAGCAAAAAAGAGCGGTAGAAGAGCTACTTCAATGATCTATTTAATGAGGGCATGCAAATCTTTCATGCTTCAATCAGCTACACACGGAGGAGAACCAAATTTTCAATTATAATAGGAGAATTTGAGAAGTTGAAGTTAAGGAGGCCCTGAAATAGATGAAGAATATCATAGCAGTGAGTCCAGACAACATCCCGATTGAAGTTTGGAAAGGTTTAGGAGGAAAAGGCATTTTGTGGCTAACTAAGCTTTTAACGAGATTCAAAGATCTAAAAAGATGCTCATCGAATAGAGGAAGAGCATTTTGGTCCTATTTACAAGAATAAGAGGGATATTCAGAGTTGTGGAAACTATCAAGCTCATGAGTCATACGATGAAGTTGTGGGAAAGAGTGGTTGAATGGAGGTTGAGACAAGAGACTTTGGTGTTAGAGAACCAATTTGGTTTTATGCCAAAAGATCAATTGCAGAGGCTATATACTCAGTGAAGAGAATGATGGAGAGGTACTAAAGTGAGAAGAAAGATTTACACATGGCTTTTATGATTTGGAAAAGGCATATGACAGGGTTTGTGGAAAGTTTTAGAGAAAAACGAGTAAGAATTGCGTATATTTGTTCAATTAAAGACATGTAAGATGGTGTTACAACGAGCGTGAGAAGTCAAAGTAGGGTAACAGGGGATTTCTCATTAGTGTGGGATTACAACAAGGGTCATCGTTAAGCTCATGTCTTTTTATACTAATATTGAACGTTCTTACTGAGCATATATAAGAACATGTACCATGGCGAATGCTTTTTGCTGATGACATCATCCTTATACACAAATCACGAGAGAATTTGAATGAGTCGGGCTTTGGAATTGCATAACTTGCGTATAAATCACATTGAAACAGAGTATATGGAGTGCAAATTTGGCAACAGATGGAGAAATAGTAACATCGAGGTGAAAGGTGGAGAAAGTAATATACCACAAGTAAAGAGATTTAAATATCTTGGGTGTATCATTCAAGACAATGGATAAATAGAGGATGATGTTAGCCATATGAGTCAAGCCGGTTGGTCAAAATGGTGGAGTACTTCAGGCTTTATATGTGACAAAAAAGTACCTTTAAAACGAAAGGGAAAATTTTATCATACTACAAATAGACGAATGATATTGTATGGAACGGAGTGTTGGGCAGCAAAGGGTGAACATGAACACAAGGTTAGTGTGGCGGAAATGAACATGTTTAGTTGGATGAGCGGTCATACACATATGGATAGAATAAGGAATGAAGATATGACACCTATTGTAGAAAAGATGGTGAGAACTCGTCTTAGGTGGTTTGGATATGTGGAGAGAAGACCAATAATGCATTTAGTGAGAATGGTTGATCAAATGGTGAATTAACATGTGGCTAGAAGAAGAGGTAGACATAAGAAGACTTGGCAAGAAGTGGTTAAGGGGGACCTTAGCGTGAATGATTTCGCAGCGGATATGATACATGATAGGGCGCAATGGCGTCGTTTGGTCCATGTAGACGACCCCACGTAGTGGGATAAAACTTTGTTGTTGTTGTTTTGGGCTATTGAAATCATGTAATAAAGCAAAATGACTCAGGTAAGAAAGAATGTCAACACATCGGATTTTTCTTCTGAAAACCATAAACTATAGCATTTGTGATGTGCCTTCGGAACTAAAAAGCAGAACACTTTGATAATATTACTAAGGGCCTGTTTGGGAATAACGTTAGAGATTAGCGTTAGCATTTTGGATAAAATTTCAAAGGTGCAGATTAGTTTGAAAACGCTAACGCTAAACGTTGCTCGTATATTGCCTTTTCAAAATGCTAACGCTAAACCCTATCCCATATTGGCATTAGATATTTGCAGATTTACAGGATATATCACTCCATAAACCTTTTTCCTCATCAAACGTCGAAAATACAAAAATGTTAAAATTAAACGTGAGATAAAATTTAGCATTTAAAAAAAATACAGAAAAAACAAAACAAGAATTTCATATCTAGCACAGGAATGAGGGCGAGGCAGAGAGACTCACAGCTTCAACGACGGCGTCGAAGTAGCGCATGTCGTTGGAGGGGAAGGCGTGGCATGCAGCGCAAACAACGGAACCTCTTCCGATTTTCCCGCACTCGGTGTCCTGAAGCTGCGGCGAAACCGGCCTGAACCTGCGGACGAATCGTTCCACGGCGTCGCGCGAATCGAAATCCGATGGGCGGAATTTGACGATTTCCATGATGCCCTGAAACTGGACCGACAGAGTCTCTCCCTTCAGGTGGACTTTGACGCTGTACCAGGCGTCGTCGTCGGTCGCCCGGAACTCCAGAACCAGCTTCCCCACCATAGCTCACCGGAAAAGCCGACGGAGGAGGGCGGGATGAACTGGCGGAAGGACAGCTCAGTGGAGTGTGGGAAAGGCACTTCACAGTTTGCCGAGAATGGACACCTCACTGCGTATTTGGCAACGAAATGTTTGCTGTTTACCTACTCCCTTTTCTTTTTACTCGAGTAAATTTTTTAAATGAATTACATTCTCCCACCTTTTTTATTGTCTCATTTTCTTTCTAATTAATTTAAAAAATATTACTCCGTATTTCTCTTTGTAATAACTAATAAATGTCAAAAATTATTTTTCCCACCTTGTATTATTCCTCATCAAAGTTTGAAACCACGATTTGAAACCCAATATTTCCAGTGAAATTATGATATAAATTAAAAGAAGGTTAAAGTTGATAAGGCAAAGAAAAATTTTGAAACCCCAATATTGTTAGTGCTCTATTATTTCAAACTTTTTAACTAGAATTAGTTAATGTACTCCGTAATTATTTTGCAACATTATTTTATTTATGCAGTTTTAACTTTTAAATTTGTTTAACCAAATTACAAGTATTGCTGTATGGTTATAGAATTTTGGGAAAAAGACTGAAGTAGAAATAAACATAGAAAATATAGCAAAATATAATTTTTCCGAAATAAGAGTAAAAATGTATTTACATTACCAAACATGATCATGTACATTACCAAAAAATATAGTAATGTGCATGTGTACATATTGTCACATTACCTTCACATTATCACAATGCAAACTCCTATTTCGGGAATAAAAACATAAAATTTATATTTTAATACTTTTTCTATGTTTTAGTCACTAAGCAAATCCATAAACAAGACACAATCAAAAGTCACAACTATTCATAGGACGACACCTCTTTATTGGGCAATGATGACAAAGTAGAATACACTGAGACATAGATGGTACGATAAAGATCCATATACCAAATTACCAAAATACCAACACTAACATGAGAGTATTGACATACTAATACTCGTAATTGCTATGAAGTTAAAAGGGAAATGGGGCACTCTTATTTGAAAAGGTTCCTCAGACCATTAAAAATCTGAAAGGCCCTTAGTTCACCACTCCTTATGTCCCTCAATTTTCTCCTCAATATCTGCAAAAATACAAATGACTAACTTAAGAATAACAGTATCAGTCTTATTACTTATTTATTTACGAAATCGAAAAAAACACGAGAAGAACCAAATAATCAAGACGATAAGATTAGGATATGGTACATTTTCTAGTTCTAGACACGGCAAATTTTACTTGTACCATTTTATCCCCAGATGGATCCTAGTTGGATATATGATCTAACGCGGCTTAGACTTACATATTGTGCCCGGTATAGTATCCTCCTTTCACTTGTGCACAAATCCATTGCAAGCTGTTTGAGAAACACCCTTCTATTAAGTTGCTGTGGATTTGTTACATCCAGATCCATTTCGCCATTCGCCTTTGAACAGGTAGAATGGAAAGCTCAGTCAGTGGAGTGTAAACTAAAATGCATTGCCTTAGGCTACAGCCACACACTCACACCACGGATGGCACCAAGGTTGACACCACCAGTGACTACTCTAACTTCTCACATAGATTGCAGACTGTCTATTGTCTCGGTGGCAACATTGGTGTCATCTGTGAGGTTAAAGTAGCACTTTTCAAATGCATTTGCGCATTTGGAAAGGATAGGGAAACTCTCATGAAAGATTTTGTTTCCACACAATTAATTAACTTCTCACTCCATTCCATAAAAGAGTCATGTTTCAAACACTATAAAAGTCTAGTTTGATCAAACGGAGTTAATTTCTGTGTAACTTGCCAAAAAAAAGAGCACAAAGCAAGTTAAAATGTAAAATGTAGTTTATCTAACAGATACTTTTTTTAAGAAAAAACTCTGTATAGCAATGGAAGATAGTGGGTTCGTACCTGAAGGAATTTGGAGTACTTTGATATGGCAGACTCACAGCAATCTAGAATATACTGTAATGCATCCTCCTCTATTTCAGAATACCGAATCATACCCTTCTTGGATGATGGAGTCCTATTTGATGCAGCAGCAGCCATCTGGAATAACTCTCATTTCAAAGTAATCTCATAATCTAACAATAACTTATTACTTACATGATTATTAAATCTATCATACCTCTTCGAATTTTCTATTCATCTTCGGGGGGCTGACTGCTAGATAAGCATAAGCCATCAACTCCTTTGGCCACCCAGTAATTTGTACAGGATATCTTTCTGATCTATTAGAAATACATAAAATTTGCAACTTGTGCTTTTTATTATTATATTTAAAAATAATCAGAAACACTAGTCAAATATAACGCTAGTCACTGCCAATCAGATACTCACGTGGATAACCCGTGCTTTTGCAAAATTTCTAATTTCTCCTTGTAACATTTGTCAGACTTGTTAATCGACACTGACAATTCAACTGAATCATTGGGATTGGTGCCTTCTCTAGGGACAAATCCATACGAAAGCAACAGCTCTCCATTAGACTTCTTTCCATATGATATAAAAACCTGCACTTCTAAACCAAACCCAACAGATCAGATGAATAAAATAAAGTGAATGTGAATGTTCCATGTAAAAGTTTCTTCCTTTGGTAAGGATCATCATGGATGAAGTGTCTTATCATGCCGAATTTGTCACCGAAATGACTTGATTGTTGAATACTCGAATCTATGAAATTATCATTAAAAATATAAAAATGTATATTTAAATAAATCAGGGAAAATATTTTTAAAAAACATAGATATCAATATCAACCAATTCATTTGTGTCATCCAAAAAAAACACTTCCACAGTTCCACTACTCTGTTCATTACGAGCCAATTCAGCCATACATTGTAACAAGTTAGAGTTTGGTGAAAAACTGGATGATAAGGTTGATAAGCCAAAGCTAGTAAATTACTGACTGGTGAAGAATTAAACTAATAATAGTGACAAGAACGAAAGAACTGAGTACCTGTTCATCTGGCTGATATGCCCTATCAGTTTTGAACACAATGCCTTGTGATGATTCATCATAATCCAGAAAAGTTTCCACCTTAACAAATTAAAAGAATTTTAAAGACATACGGAGTAAGAAGTAGGTTTATAACAACATCCTCACATACCTCGCAACTATGGTTCAACATGTCTGCCCAAGGAACCAATGCGACCCTTCCATTCATTGAGGGCAAACGGACCTGCAATTAAGAAATCTTGTTTTTTAGGTAAACTGACAGCTTTAGGAATTAACCAATCAGAGCGTTCCAAGTTAAATTCTCACCAAACGTGAAAAGAGGATGCCGAACGACCATTTAAAGGTATCCATATTGAATAGCTGCAATGTGACAGAAACTGAAGCATTACCAAAGTAACCAAACTAATCTCATACTCCCTCCGCCCTAGGTATTTTCCATCTTTCCATTTTTTCCATACCAAATTTGTTAGTCATATTTTTTTCCTTCTAAATAAACTTCAACCACACACTTTTGTTCACCCCTACTTTTAAGTAAAAACTGTCTACATCCAACAATGGACTTCCCTACAATAGGTGGTGAATCTGAGTAGGCATAGGTGACTCCTCTTATGGCTTGACAAGAGAAGAACAACGATGACCGATGAAACAAAACGGTTCCATGGATGGTTTGGTGCAAGGACGAAAAATCTTCTGTATAAACAGATTTTTTTTATATTGCCATTTTATAGCATGTCCAAAATCCATAGATGGAATAAACTGATGCTTCCATCCAACAAATTCAAATAAACCCAAAAACAAAATATTGAGCAAGTAACGTGACTTGAATTTTAAATAAATACTGGTTGATATGAATAACATCAATATTAGCAAAAAATAAAACTATGAAAATATCAAGAATTTTGATTGATACTCTGCATCAATCATATCGAGATGTTCAAAATGGAATATCATATAAACATGAAGTGATATCAGCATGGTTTAATCTATGTCTTCGTTAATATCATAAATATTTTGAACCCTAGGAGAAGATGTTTTTATGTTTTAAATTTTGAATTGGTACTAATACCCATATTTACACACATTTAAAGTATTAATATATTTACCAATACCCATATTTTCATCCTTGATCTGGTGGGAACAAGAAGAGTTTCCATGACAGGTGATGCTTCAGACTAAAAAAATATGAACATCAGATATAGGAAGGGCTGGGGGCTAGACCTAAGAGACACTCTTCAGTTGAATTCGTGCAGTAAGAGATCACATATCTTTAAAGACTGGTGACATCAGCAAAGATTTAAAAAGGTTTGCAGAAGATGAAAAACACCGATGTCCCTTCAGCACTGAGAAATGTAGGATAATGGACCTCTTAAAAGAGTATTCTCTGTCAAACTTTTATTCAGGACATTAAGACATTGGCAAGTCCATATTGATTAATCTTTGGGAGTAGAACCATCGATTTGACTTTGTTGCATGATTGGGTTAGAGACCCATCGAAAACCGTTGAACATGTGATTAAGTGAATTAATTTGCCCTTCTTATTGACAAAAAAACCTAATTATAAATCATTCCTGTTGTAGGAGGCATTGAGGAGAATTTATAAGTTCTCAACTAAGGCTGCCTTGGTAGCTTGATCAACAACTACACCAAAACAGACTGCAAGTAGTTCAATAACTGACATTGTCAAACAGGCAAACTGACACCCCATTAACAATCACCAATCTCCAAAATCACCCCGACCAACCATCGGTCCCACAGCTTATCAGTAAAATTAGACAGAAAACAAGATGTTTCCAATGGAAGTGTAACCATGGTATGCATAGTACCTCTTCAGGAAATAACTCTGGATGTTTAGAAAATATTCTGAGCCTCAAGTCATTGTACCTACAGGGAAAGGAAAATAAATCAGAAAATATATTAGTCGTTACCAGAGAATCACGATATACACCAGAAACCTTTGTGTTCAGTAAGGACTTTGTAGGTCCATTTGTAACTCAAAAAATGTTAGCAAAACACATAGGGAGAAAATAAGGAGGATGCCAGTAGGCGGGAAATGTGAGGGGAAAAAAAGAATATATCAATTTCAGAAATTTGTTCAAACTCGTTTTATTCAAATATCAGTATAATATGTAAAACTAAGAAATCTAAATAAATGTACAAATTTAAAAGGTTTTAATAAAATTTGATTTTCCTTTGTTATCCCCAAGGCAAAATCAAACATAAAAAAACATTTCAATTAGTATTTTTTTCTCTTCCCCTATCACTTAAGGAGTTCCAAACATAGCCTAAACGTTCAATGAAAGAGGCCATACGTTCCAACGACACCATTCACTCTTTCAATTGCTCTCTCCCTAATTTGTGATGCTTCAAGATATCTGTCAAGCTCTGAACGGGTCCTGAAATGATATACAGCAGCTGTAGAGAGAACCAACTGAGAACTTACTCCTGAACCTCTGAAATCAAAATGATTTTTTCTCGGGATCATAGGCTACAGATTTACCACAGAAAAGCGACGTGTTTACCAGTATAAAAGCGAGTAGGGCTGTCTAGGCAAGGCAGAGATATAGTTATTCCATCTTGAAGACTTCATCAGGCTTGCCTCACTGATCAAATATGTTGCTATCAACGGCCAATCTGGCACATCATAACTTTTTAACACACGGCCAGCTTCGGGGACACTCCACTCCTAACACCAAACCAAGTAAAACGAAAAATTTAAATGACATCCACCCATTCATTTGAAATCAAATCGTGCAAATATATAGCCCCCAAATTCCAATTCAATGGGGGGAATGTTCACTCAGCTGCTTAAATCGAATTCAGCAAACAATCAAAACAAGGAATTCCGAGATAGTATTCCTCAATTCAAGTCACAATACATTTAAAAAAAAAAATGGAACAAGAGGATATAATTGAGTGATAAAAGTACCGAATTGGGGGTAATGACGAGGGAGGGAGGCACGAAGAGCAGCTTCTCCCCCTTCCTGATGCTCTTGAGAGCAACGAGGCCTCTCTCTCCAACATCCACTCTCCGTATGGCCATTTTCTGGGGAGGAAGACCAGAATCCAACAGCCATTTCTGGAAAGCAGAGGCGTTCTCGAGCGAATAGGTATCACAGCCCCAAGGGAGGGCCTGGAGCTTCGAGCAACGCGCGGTAGGGTTTCTTCTGAAGAATGCGCGACATGTGAGAACAGAATGGGTTCCATGGGAGAAAGGAGAGAAAAGAGTGGGCTGGAGAATGGTAGAAGCTTCGGGCATGGCTGGAGATGGGGGGGCGAAATTGGAGAAAGGATTAAGTAAAGAAACACCCGCCTTACTTAACTAACCTTATCTAGACTAGCCTCAAAAGTCAAACGCCTTGTTTGGATAAAATTAGTGTTTTGAATAAAATTTTAACGGTATAGATTAACTTTGAAAATGTTAACTTTAAAACACTAACCTCTAACGTTAGTGTCAAACAAGGCCAAAATGTTCTTCGTGAAATTGTAGAATGGTTCTTCTTAGTATTGGTTCACAGGTAAAATATGGACTTCTCACAATTTTAATGAATTGGCTAGTGATTTTTTTAGATAAATGCCTAATTCTTTTACAGTATCAAAGCACTAAGTTTCATAATACGAGTATGGATCTTACGATCAATGAACAGTTTGCTAAAATTTTATGACGAAGTACATATTAATCTAATAAAATAAAGTTTTGCATCAAATTCAACAAAAAAAGTTTTACATATTATATATTAATCTAATACTCCCTCCGTCCATAAATAAAGTTCTCACTTTCCTTTTTCGTCCGTCCAAAAATAATCTTCCCGTTTCTATTTTTGGAAAGTTTTTTATACCAAAAAGTCTAAATTACCCTCCCCACCCACTCCCTATCCTTTCTTTTTCTTTTTCCTTCCCCACCCATTTCCTTTCCCCAGCCGTCACATTTTTCTTTCTTCTTTTTTCTCTCTTCTTCTTCTCTCTTCTCTTATCATCATCTTCTTCTTTCTCCTTCTTCTTCTTTTACTTCTTTCTTCTCCTTTGCTCTTCCGATCTTTTCCTGTAAATTGAGAGCAGCGAATCTCAGAGTAAAGGTGAGGCAACGAGGCGGTGGTAGTGGTCAGAGGTAAAAGGGCGGTCCGATCTCCTCTTCTTCTTCTTCTTCAATTCCCGGTCCAATGCCCAGTCCATCTTCAACTCTTCTTCTTTCTTGTCCATCTCCATTAGATCTGAGAATTTCGATTCAGATCCGAGGTCAGCGTTAACAAAGAAATCGGCAATGGTGGCTGAGTACAGACGCCGATTGAATGAGTAGGCATAGGTGACGGCGAGCAGTGAGGCGCCGATTGGATCGGAATAGGTGACGGCCGTCGGTAATAATGGCAGAGCGGCAAGGAGATTTGGCCTTATTTGGGGTGGGGGGCATCCGATTGCAGAGACGGAAGAAAATGGGTGGACAAGATCGAAAAGAGGAGAAGGGATAGGAATGAAGGGTATTTTAGGAAAGTCAAAGTAAATTTTCTGTTTTATTAAACTCCGTGCCAAGTCAAAGTGAGAACTTTAATCTTGGACGGAGGGAGTAAAGTAATTTTTATTTTTTTTACAAAAAAAAGTTTATTGAAGTTATTTTTGTACTAATATATAATCTGTCTTGGAACTAGTATTTCTCAAGGTTGTTTTTAGTGGTTTTACGAAGTTTGATTAAGGTTAGAATTTGATACGAAGTATTTACAAATATCATCTCTTTTAAATTGGTTATTTAGACACATCGTGTTTTTTGAATTTGAGATATATGAATATGATATCTCTATCAACAACCTTCAGCGCCACCCAATTTGTTACTATCAACCACCGTTACAAATTTTTTCAAACATACATTTCATTTCAAAATTATTATCATCAATCAATCAATACTCGCTAAACATATAACGTGTTCACTAAATGAAATAGAAAGTGTATATTAGATGGGCAATGCTAATTGCTAAGAGAATCTCATTTGACACCAAAGACAAACACGGATACTTAAAAAGATGCTTTCGCACAAATAATGAGCATCTTTATTTGCATTTAGTATTAAAAGAGATGTTACAAATGGGTTTCTCCAAATTTTCTCCAACCAAATAATGTTGTGTTATGAAGCATAGACACGGTGCCATAAATTTAAAAGTCACCACAACAGCAACGGATTAAATTAATTAATATGGACTAAACTATTCTTTTTTTAATGAAAAGATTAATTTAAAACATTCAAAAAACAAAAAATGAAAAGATGAAAAGGAACATAAAAATACTAGTCCCTGAGTATTTGTTCAATTTTAATTTTTTTTATCAACCATTTTCAACCTTTGACCCATAATTAAATGAAATAAATATTGTATATTAATTAGATTAAATAATATTTTGAGAATATTTCGTATAATAAATCTAATAAATTTATTTGAGTATCAATATCTAATATCATTTTTATTTAATTTGATGTCAAAGTTTATCAATTTTGACTGAAAAAATAAAAAATAGACAAATACTCAGATACTAGAACTACTTGTTTAACAAGTGCTCGGTAAAAAGAAATATATTATTCGTATGAGTGAAGATTATTATGATTATTATTGCATTGCAAAATAAATTCGTTTTACAAGTTCAACCATTGGGCAGGGGGTAAGATACATACAAAGAGCTGCCTCAAAACTCACACAGCATAATTTATAGAGCCTACTATAGCAAGAACAAGATTACAAATATCGTTGCGGTTCTTTTTGACACCGGTTTTTGGTGTCATATTATGACTCTGGGGGCAAGATGGGGTTGGGGGTAATACCCTTCTTTGGAGCCCAACGGAGCACCATAGGGCTCTCAAATGGCCGGTGTGGTAATGGTGTCAAAAGAACCTAGCCCAACAAACATTACCTCATTTGTACAAATTATTGAGCTCTTCTTTAAAGCGGTCCTTGATGGGTTCCCTCTTTAGTTTAAAGGCCGCTGTGACCAGACCAGATTCTGGAGTCCAAGGCTCCGGTATTAGCTTTATCTTCGCTGGAACCTCAAACTTGTCCAATCTTGCTTCTTTGGCTGCCTGTAATGTTATATCAAAGCACATTACCAAGCACTTCTATTGCACCATAATACCCGACTACAACGGGTGGTTCTATCATGCACCTAATAAGTTGCACCGTGGGCCTTCTTGCGTAACCAAATTAATTTAAAAAAAATTGCACGTCGTTAAAATAAGTTATTGTTTATATGAGAATGTCCATGATTTCTTATTGGACCTTAGGTTCATATATGAGTTAATTAATTAAAACAGGGGTGTCGGGTAGAGTGAATGGTGTCATTTGTTTTTGGACAGGCTTGCTTGGAATTTTGGATGTGCTTTTGTTAAAATTGATGGTAAGAAAAAGTAATCTTGTTAAACGCAGATGGAAAAGAAATTCAAATGTGTTGCTCGAAAACATTTACAAGAAAGAAACGAGAGAATATAGTGATCGGATGCTGCCGTACAAGTCCCCCACCCCTGCCCCAAATAAAAAGAAGCAGATTTGCACTTTTCAGAAAAACACTGAGTTAAATGCTTAAATGTGAAATTACGTAAGTTGTCCTGATTCCCAAACAACCTATAATGTTTAACACCAAAATCTCTAACACTATGTTTGTTTCAAATAATTAGAGAGAAAGGAAAAGAAGATGAGATCGAAAGCAATTTTCCATGTTTGGTTAGAGAGGAAAAAGAGAAGTGGAAGGAAAAGAAAATGAGAAAAAAAAGGCTAAGAAGGAAAAATGGATTCCTTCCGTTTTGGTAGAAAAAGGGGAGAAATCATTTTCTTTTCTTTTCCTTGAACCAAACATAGGTAAGTGTTTTTTATGGAAATTCCAGAAGAAAAATTTATCTCAAACCTGTGATAATGAACCAAATATAGGGTAAGTGTTTTTTACAGGAATTCCAAAAGAAATATTTATCTCAAACCTGTGATAGTGAACGCTGAACCTCTGAGACGGCTTCCTTTTTGTCACACAACTCGTGAAACTCTTTGTACTCTATTCTGGTTTCATGTGCCCAGTTCTTAAGGATGTCACGATTAGGGACAACTAAAGCTACACAATAATTGTGAAAGGGGTCTGCATACACCATTATGTTATCCACATACTTGCTTGATGCAAGTGCTGCCTCTACCTGTAATTAAGAATCACATTATCTCTTATTAGTCACTGCCTCATCTATGGAGGATCAAGAATAGAATTAAAAGAAAGAGGGAAGAAGGGGACCCTAAGAGAGCAATATGAAAAACAAATCTATCAGTAAATGAAAATACAAGATTGGGCTGTGGTGGTGGTGTATTATATAGAATTACTGGCACGTCGTAAGTAGTCTAAAATCTATAAAAGTTAATATTCATATGAAGTCCATAGTTTTTTATACGGAATAATCCAGTAAAAAGTAATAAGAAGACACCAATCCATTTGGGCTCCCTTATGTGTCCATTGGGCCCTGAACCAGGTCATGCCACTCACTAACCCACTCACAAAACCCCCAGCCCCATACCGTTTGCCAAAATACTACAGTGTTACTATAACATTTCAAAAAAATGCACAGGGCAGGGAGCTTGTGGGGTGGGTTGGGGGAAGGACCCGCGCACCGGTGTCATATTATGACACCAAAATTTGAGAGAAATGCTAAAGTCACAAACATAAAAGTCACAAAATGCACAAGCTTGCCATTTGTGAATTTAAATTTCCACTTTTTAATTATTTGAGACCATTTTACTTCTTTAGTGAGTTCACAAATGGCAAGCTTGTGCATTTTGTAATTTTTTTTGTTTGTGACTTTAACATTTCTCAAAATTTGGTGTCAAAAGAACTGCAGTGAAAAAATAAATTCTAAAAGACAAGATATTACGAAAAACATACAAGTCTATGAACTTTTGTAATGAGTCCATGGACATTTGAAAAAGTCAGTCATTAAAAAATCCACAGAGATCAAAATACAACACACATAAGAGGGAAGGAGAACCCACACAAGAAAACAAGACATAACTTCCCCTCCCCCAATCACCCAATGGCCAAAATACTGTAAAATAGAACAGGCTGTTGCATGTATGATTTATTTTTATGATTCATCGTGATGCATTGGAACTTCTAGAGGGGTTTTTAGTTACCGAGTATTAAGTCTTCCATGCTCTGTCCCACAAAGATATTTCATTTTGGTCCACCCACAAAGATTGTTCAGTTTTTTCATTGGGGATGTACTAATTGTTTCATTTCCAGGTTTACCCCTACTGAATCACAAAAGTACAACTACATATTACTCCTAGCATACTGCATTAAAATTAAATTCCTTTACAAATGGTAAAAAGGAAAATTGTATATGAGTTAATAAGTACAATTGACTTAGCAATCAATTCTTAATTCGTAAGCATAAATATAATGGAGTGTCTCTCTGGGACAGATGGGACATAATATCAAATAAAAGGCAAAAAAGAGGAGAAAATTTGCATTTATACCTTTCCAAGGGAAATGTACTCCCCATGTTGAAGTTTCACAATATCCTTTTTTCTATCAATAATTTCAAGGCACCCATCAGAATGAAACCTTCCAATGTCACCAGTGTAAAACCACCTCATGCCCCTCTCATCAACCTGTGTGTATGAGTTTCGACTTAAATCCCCAATCAAGAAATTATAGTACTTCCTGTGGGCTCCACTAGATTAGAAAGTGTGTACTTACTTTGAACACCTCATTGGTTTTCACATCATTATTGAAGTAACCAGCAGTAACACTGCATCCACCAATAACAACTTCTCCTCGAGGCATTGGCTTGTCAGTTATTCTGTAACCACCTTCTTCCCAAGAAATAAGCTGCAATGTTGAATCGAGAAAATTGATACAAAAGCAGTTGGCAAAAATATGTCCAATTTTCTAGAGTTTGAATTTATCCCCAAAGGGATCTTTCCAGCTAAATAGTCGGACAAACTAAAATTCTATTCTTGAGAGGTTTTTTGGTCATTCTAATGGTTTCATGGCTTCGAATCATTAAATAACTTAAAGCTAATTTGAATGGGTAGCTTAAGTAGTTTCAGCCCATGACTAAAAAGTCTCTGAGGTCACTTGACTCTCTTGATTTTCAAAAGGGCCGGTGTAAGTTAACCTGCTCATTAACGTTTTCCATGGGATTCATCGGTCAAAATGGCCCATAAAAATCACTAAAAGTCTACCAAATGTTGTGCAGGTACATTTTGAGTTGTGAGGAAGCATACCACGAGGTGACTTATTCACTTTTACTAGTGTAACAAGGGAGTTGAATCTAAAGCAGAATGATCATGGATTTAACTGTCTTCACAATAGGACATACCGACATAAGCTAAAGTTTGGAGACATCAAGTAACAAATGAATATACTCTTATCCACATAAATGCAAATAGGAAACAGATAAAATGCAATTTTTTGATAGTACCATATCCACAACTCAATATGTAGAGCACTTTAGTTATCAGATACTCCCTCCGTCCCATAAAAAGGTTCCGAATTTCCTCTTTCCTCTGTCCCAAAAAAAATTTCTTTCCACTTTTGGAAAAACAAATTTGTGGCCCTTATAATTTCTCTCTCCTCTGCATCACTTTCAACCACATAATTTTAATTTCCTTAATCTCCGTGCCAAGTCAAAGGTGGAACCTTTTTATGGGACGGAGGGAGTAAT